GGAGCCCGATGCGGGACTCGATCCAGGGACTCCAGGATCATGACCTGAGCCGAAGGCAGTCGCTTAACCAACTGAGCCACCCAGGCGCCCTTAATATATGTTTTTTAAAGATTTTCTTTATATATTTAGAGAGAGAGTACAAGCAGGGGAAGCAAAAGGAAAGGGAGAGAGAATCTCAAGCAGACTCAGTGCTGAGCACGGAGCCCAACTAGGGGCTCAAGCTCACGACCCTGAAATCATGACCTGAGCCGAAATCAAGAGTCGGTCGCCTAAGGGACGACCCAGCTCCCTGGGGAGCCACCCAGGCGCCCAATGCTGTCTTTTAAGGTGACTTTAATATTTTTGTTCTGACCAATTTAGTACACTATTGATTGTACTTTCAGAGGTTGATCTTATTTCCCTTATTTCTAAATTTCTAGGGGAACCGCCTGGTTGTTCCCAAGTGGGAAAGAATTTTAGTTAATAAAAATTTAAGTATTTGCATTGCAGTTCCTGAGGTAAGACTTTTTGTATGTCTACTACTGTCCTAAGAGCTTGAAAATTTATTGAGTTATATAACACATCTAATTTGTACATTTATGGGGAAAAAATCCTCCGAGGTACCTCATCCTTAATTCTGTAAAAAACAGATAATCTAAAACTTTCTGCAGGGCAGGTAAAGGGGTTTAATCTACATGAGCACAGCTGAGGTTCTGCAGCAAAGTGACAACAGGAAGCCCTTCTACAAGGGGGCCGAGAGACCAAGGACCATCCCTTCAACACCACAGCTACTGAGACCACTGACTGTCCTGGTTAGGAAGACTACTTATGTGAGACCAATGACAAGGAATCCATAAGACTTAGGGGAAAATGAGAAATCAGTAAGCTATGGAAAATGAATATGGAAAACAAATGTGTTTTTTTCAAGAGGTGAGGTAGAAATTAGAAAAGGATGAAAGCCCATTGTTTGGGGATGGGAGTGGAAGTCCTAATCTAAAGCTGAAAAGGAAAACAAGAACTTCTCAGACTCAGACTTTCCTCTGATAATGGGAAGAAAGATTGTTTTTCAAAAACAATATAAAAAGCATTACAAAAGTAAGGTTTCCATCACAGCATAAGGGGTTAATGCTGGTAAAGTGAAAAAACTAGTGAATTGTTTACTTCCTCTGGGTTCAATGACTCAAGTCCTTAAGGCTGCAGACTAGGGTCAGAGCAGATCACCTGAGTTGATGGGAGGGTTTCGGATAACATCAACAATAATCTTCTGAACCTCTGGAGTCAGGCCTGCTTGTTCCATATCAAGCGGGCAGCCAGCTTTCACCGCTTGGGTTAAGTGCATCCCAACTGCTGTGAGAGGCATAATCCTGTCCTTGGCTATACTTATCTAGAGAAACAGGAGCAAAACCAACAGTGAGGTCTTAAAAGTTTGCATTGTACCATATGTAAATAAAATGTCCAAAACCTTCAGGTAGTCAGTGTTCACTGAGAAATAAACAATGCCCTGAAACTTCACTTAAATTTTTCATTTTTTCTGTTTCTTTAAAACTACCCACATTATAGATCTCCACAGGTTCTACCTTTTATACTTACTACTGTGAATAAAACAAAATCATCCAGCTTTAGCTAAGAACTCAATCCTCATCCCTCTGTAATTATTCACTTTAAAAACCTATTAGTGGCAGAGAGTAATCATTCTGTGTAAGTCTAATAACTGCCACAGCCTTTGAAAATACATTAAATTGTAATCCAATATTCCATATAATTGAACTAACACATGGTACTTTAGTTACGTGAATTTCTAAGACGACAAATCCTAAAATGCTTAGTGATAATGTAAGGCTCCAGATGCATTCTATAAAAGGTTCTTGAAAAAACCTTAGCAGGGTATTTTACATTGGCTCTATTCATAAAATAATAACCACAATTTAGCAAGGGCTGTCATCTCTTGTTTAGCATTAAACTTAGCATGAATTGTTTTAAATTTAGGACAGTGCTACATATTTATGCAGCTTTTTAAACAAATGTAGCTCCAAATCCATTTAAGATGTTTATTAGTTAAAACATTCTTTTAAACACTCAGAAAGTTTACTCAGCTCTAAATTATTTCATGATACTCTCTTTTAATATATCTTGGAAGTCTGAATTTGGACAGTATTTATGTGAATGTTGTACTTTCACAGAACAGAGCATTTAAAGCAATATTTTCAGCCCTCAAAGGTAGGTTTTAAGTTACTTTCATTGTCTACCCTTTTCCCCTACACAGTATGCACCATGTGTACAAAATATCAGAGTTATTGGATACCAGGCATCAAATTACCTAGAACTAATTGTATTATTGCTCCTGATTAATTAGTCCTTAGGCATGTTTAATTTTGTGGTTAACTGGCACAGACTGTCTCAGACCCTTGGGAGGAACAGATAATTATACCATGATATTACACGATAATATACAAAAAAATAATAGCAAAAGATATCAATGAAAATATACCACTCCACATTTTTAACCATGAATATATAATATAATACACGAAACCACATACCATGGCTGAGTATTAGAATGTACTTTACTCAGAAAATTTGGAGGCTATACCAAATTTTCTTAGTACTATATTCAGTTATACCATGTATATATGGTCAAATTATGTAGTTATAAGCATACTTAACACATACATGTAAGTTACTATTTAAATAAGAAACTGAACTTAAAATTTCTACTTATCATGTAATTCACTTCAAAACTAGTACAATGGAATTGTTCGGTTTCTTCTGTAATGGCTTTTGTACTTTTAATTTCAGAAATCTGACTGTTTAATTAGAACATTAAGTGATGAAGACAAGCTATAAACTGGTTTTCTTATTTATACTGGATTTTAACCAGAATAAGAAGTATAATATAACCTAGTTGAACAGAGACACAGAGAACAGGAAAAGCAGGCACTGGACCATATAGCCTTTTCCAAATCAACTTAATGACAGAGAGGATAGGATTTCAAATTAGTTAAACCTAGCTGGAAGCCTAATTCTGTCCCTATTCCACTAAGATGTACTCTTCATTTTGTATATTAAAAAAACCTCAACAGCCTTAAGGACTGAGGCCAGAACAGTGAAGAAATATTAAGTGTGGCCATTTTTCACAGTAATTAAGATTTTTTTTCAAAGACCATCAGGCATGGTTTAAAAAACAGAATAATAGTAGAGGATCTAGAGTGAAAAGCAAGCTGTTTTTTAAAAACTTATTTCCAGCTTCTTGGACATCCTTCCAGAGACAGTCTATGCATTTTTGTATACATACACAAAAATATGTTAATATATAAGCATGCATATATACAAAAACACATTTATGTTTTTCATACTGCTCTCCGACTTCCCTTTCTTTACTTTAATGTACCTTGGAGATTATTTCTTATCAGTACATATGCTAAGAGTTTTTAAACTATTAATCCCAGTTAAAAAAAAAAGTCTTAAAATACAGCTGCTCTAATATCCCTAAGTTGTAAATATGTTCAACAGTACTCTGATACAACCTCTACAAAATAACAATGGTCAAAGTACACTTACTCTTTTAAATTAATTGACAAAGGCAGGCGTGGCAGAAAAAGAAAATGACGATAGTCTAAGATTAAATATAAAATGAAACAACATAAAATACTGCAAGATTAGAAGAAATTTATCCCAAGTCACAACTTTACTATTTGAAAAGCTGATAAAACACATGTTTAGATAAATTTGAAAATCCCCTGTAACTTGGAAGTAAAACACTTACCAAAGACATCTTCTTTTCTTGGAATAAATAATATGTGATGGCCACAGACTGTGAAAGGGAGCGTACTTCATTTTTTGCCACCACACTCTTCCTTTGTTCTTCCTGAAGTGTTGTCCTTAAAAAGAGGTCTGTCTACAAAATTTTAAATGTAACACAAATGACCAATAATAATAGCAATATAATGATAGAAGTATCAGTATGATTGGTAGGCATGAGGGAAAAAAACCACACAAATAAAACTTCTAAGGAACAGTCAAAAATTCCCTTTTTATGAGGAGCTGAAAAAGGTTTTGTTTTTGTTTTTGTTTTTTTACATATTGATCTAAAAAGGTAAAATAAGGCTGGAGGGAATAAGTCTTTAAATAAAATATTTGTAATACCTAACATGGTTATAAAACTAGAAATCTCTAGTCTCCCCTTTAGCCAATAAAGAGGGAATAAAAAATGAACTATAATGTTGACCACTCTGACTCTAAATTAGTCCCTCAATCTCTGGAAGTGAATACTGAATGAATGAATAACCGAATTAATATTCAAATTTAGATACCACAGTCACAAATTCTGCTAACATTTCATAAGTAAATATATCATCACTATATATGTATAGTCTAAAAAGATACATACAAACTGTGGCTCTAAACTTGAAGCATTATGTAAATTCTTAAATATGGTTCCTTAGGATACGTTTAAAAGAGAAAAGGTGGAGAAAGGATTGAAAAATGAGATTAATAAAGAAATATTGGAATTTTTTAAAAGCCTGAAATAAAGGTAAAGACCAAGCGAGATTTAGATAGAATTATATGATGTATGATTCGCACAGATGTATGAATAGTTTCCTCCATGCCAATTTTACCTTTCAAAACATAAGCACCAATACTAAATTAAAAGAATTAAATCCAACAGAACTTGGCTTATTGTAACCCACAGTAATCCATTTCTACCCTAAATAAATAAGTGAGTCTGTAGATTAGTTCAGATACCTGGGACAACGCAGTTTGGTGAACAGAGAAACCAGACAATACTACGAGACCTGAAGTCATTGTTTCTAGGCACCTCTAGATTTTAAGGAAGAATGTTCTTTATTAAATGAAGTGTTTCTATTTGAGACCTTAACACTGTCAAATCTGGCCCTAAATTCCTAGAAATGCTTAAAATCAGAGTCCATCAGCCCGATTCCTCAGTCTGTCAGTACAGGCTATAGCTGGAGGCAACAATGGACACCCCACTACCAAGGTCTTAGAAGTGTGACCACTGTGAATTATACTGGCAGGTCCATGAAGATTTTATTACTTATGGGACAAAATCATGATGTCATCTGTAAACGTGAGACTAAAGGGTTTAGGAACATCCGAAACACTAAGCAAAGTACCATAAGGGCAGTAATCTCAAGAAGGAAGGGCTAGAATGTGATTCCGATTAAGCAAAAGTCTAATCAAATCATGCTCTATGTAGATAAAAGACTATATGAACAGAGAGTGATCAATTATGGAAACATAAATAGGAAAGGCAGAAGGACCAAAGTAGGCAATATCTATGCAAGAACTGTTCAGATCAGAAGACGTCTTGGCTAACTAGATTTGAATATTACAGTTTCCCTGGCAAGTAATGTAGGACAATGCCTAATCTGCCAGCAAGGCAGATTGATATCAGATTGCCAACTGAGAGCAAGGATAACTTTGCCTTGATGCTGACAGACTACTATTGACACTATCAGAATTCCCCCTGTGATATTCCAGGCTTGCTAAGCAACTGTCAGATTAAGCCGGCTTCCCATATACCTTCTTCAATAGGAGAGCAGAACACACTGGTTGGGTCAGGTGAAACTTCCCACTCACATTTCTCACTATAAATTAATGAATTTGCATTCCAATGTAACCATTTATATTTACATATGCACACCTGTATACATAAAACCAAGGTCACAGAGAAGGATAATGCAAATCTACTCCCCAAAACACAACTATTCTGTGACAAGACGCATCAGATTTTTAAAGTGGGATCCAAATGTGCCTGTCCAAAGTTTACAGGAGATTCTTAGAAGTGAAAACAACCTCTTAATACTGCCTTCCATATTTTTTTTTT